GTCGCAACATAGAAGGTATTTTTCTTTGCCTTCACAAATCATGTGGCCATTAAATTTTGATAGCAACTTCCCTTTGATTTTGATTAAATTTTTCACCCTTTCAGAAAGAGAAATTGATCGGAGCAATGAAAGACAAAAGGAAGATTTAGAACTCCCATTTTTTGAGTTTGTTGTAATATCCAAAGCCACCAATGATTTCTCTTCTGTTAGAAAGCTAGGAGAAGGTGGCTTCGGGCCTGTATACAAGGTAAATGTTCGAAACTCCAGTAAAAATGATTACTAGCATAACAAGTCGTTAGTTAATTAGAAATGAAGTTTACAAGTGCACTTTTTTAGGGTACTTTGCCTGATGGAAGAGAAATTGCTGTGAAGAGGCTCTCAAGAAGTTCTGGACAAGGATTAGTTGAGTTCAAGAATGAAGTAGCACTTACAGCCAAACTTCAACATCGAAATCTTGTAAAGCTTTTAGGATGCTGCATTCAAGGGGAGGAGAAAATGTTAATCTACGAATACATGCCTAATAAAAGTCTGGACTACTTCATTTTTGGTTCGGCTTCCTGTGAGACCTTTTTAACTAACTTAGTAGGACTAGCATAAATTCTTCGCAAGTTGTTTTCATCTTTCAGTGCAACTCTTTTTCAAAAGCTATTGTTGAACACTACATTAATACGAAGAAGATACTACATGACAGATGATACAAGAAGGAATCTATTAGACTGGTCAAGGCGTTTTCACATTATTTGTGGAATTACTAGAGGGCTTCTTTATCTACATCAAGATTCTAGATTGAGGATCATCCATAGAGATATCAAAGCTAGCAATGTTTTGCTTGATAATGAAATGAATCCCAAAATTTCAGACTTTGGCTTGGCTAGAACATTTGGAGAACAATCAGATGGGAAAACAAATAGAGTGGTTGGAACCTAGTAAGTCCTATCTCCATACTACCTAATCTACTACAAATTTTTTGTTGATATAATTTGTCTTAATTATTATTTTACAGTGGTTATATGGCACCGGAATATGCTATTAATGGACAATTCTCAGTCAAATCTGATGTATTTAGCTTTGGCATATTGTTGCTTGAGATAATAAGCGGGAAGAAGAATAGAGGGTTTTACCATCTTAGCCATACTGTTAACCTGATTGGACATGTAAGTATCAAGATTCAACTCCTGCTTGGTTTTTTTTATTTTGCTCCTTTCTAATAGGGGTGGGCAAGGTGGTTCAGACCCCTTGCAGGGGAAAGGGTCAGGGCGGCGAGAAGGGTTCGAACCCTTGCCATAGGTTGAGCCCTTTGTGCTTTAAAGGCTTTTATATTCTACTGGGCCAGGCCAGTATGCTCTTCTAGGTTCAACACTTACCTTCTTACCTTTCTTTAACTAAAAAATGACATAAAGTTTATAATATGCATGTAGGCATGGATATTGTGGAAAGAAGGACGTCCTTTAGAACTGATTGATTCATTTGTGAAAGAATCTTGCACTCTTTCCGAATTATTAAGGTGTATCCACATTGGTCTTTTATGTGTTCAACAACATTACAAAGACAGGCCGAGTATGTCATCTGTGGTTTTGATGCTGGGTAGTGAGACTGAATTGGTACAACCCAAAGAACCTGGTTTTCTTTTTGACAAGAAATCCCCTGAAATAGATCCCTTATTCACTAAACTTGAATCAAGTTCAACAAATGAACTTAGTCTCTCAGTGTTGGAGCCTCGATAAAAATTACTTGAAAGCTGCATGCCTCTTGCTAATTATTTTATTTACTGTTGATCACAAATGTTTGCCATATAGCCTTAACCATTATTTGTGCAAAATTAATAGAGATACTTAAATTGTTGTATCGTTCGCACTTCATTGTCCAACATAAATTCATAAATTACTCTCTTTATCTATATATATATATACAAAAAATAATTTTAAAATTCAAACCGTAAAATATGAACCCTTAGATAAACAGTGAATTCTCTCATATTGGGCCTTCTCTTCATCCAAGTATCCCTAAGCCAAAACGTCGTCATTTAGAGGTCATCCATAAGGTAGTCCTCCCCGGAACACTCCCATAAAGACTACAGCACAAAGGGAAGAACCCCCTCCAACAGAGCAAGAAATAACCACCCGCTTCATGGATCCGATTAGCAGAATCCACCCGCACACATAGACCATAGACTATTTTCGGGTATGAAATCTCTCCTCTCTTTTTACAAGCTAACTCTTAGTCTTCTTCCGCGCTGGGGTTTTCAAAGGTCAGATTTTTGGGATTGGTGAGTCCATGGCCCAAATATCACTAGCGCGGTTATTCATAGTGCTTCTCAGCCTCAGCCTCAGCCTCAGCCTCAGCTATATGTATTAAGCAAATTGCTTTCTAGGTATCTATTTATTATTTGGTATGATATCCAAATTGCTTGCCGTCTCTCTCTGGTTTCTGAGAAAGTTGGCGAAAAGTGAAAATAATTATCTGGCCCCATTTCGTGGATTAAATTACTAAGACTTTTGACTGTTGTTATTAAATCATTTTCGTGTAGAAATTAAGGTCCAACTGCAGTATTTTTTCAGGGTAAGGGACTTCTAGAAAGGGTTGTTACCGGGAATTGCAAGGAAAACTTGCACACTAATTCACACTCAATAGTCAAGACTCCTGCATTTGGGATATTTGTCCTAACCTGCCATTATAAAGGTTCCATTTGTTATTCATGAAAAATTGCAAACAATGGTTATTCGATTTTTAGTGTTTATTATCATCATCCTCTCAATGCTTTTCTCCTCTAGATTCTCGTATGGAAGAGATATCATCACCCTATCCAACAATCTTAGTGTTCATTTAGATAAAAATTAGTAAAGGGAAGGAAAGGGAAGGGAAGGAAAAGATTAATGTAAACTTTATTTGGATAAACATACATGGAGGAGAGGAAAGGGTAATATTTTTATTTAATTAAATAATTTAAGAGAAAATCAAATATAGTAGAATAAAATTTTTAAAATTCATTAATTAAAAAATAATTGATATAAAATAGTTTTATACATTTATTTTTAAAAAAAATTAAAAAAATTAAATATATAAAGTCAATCCATTCCAATATCTCTAATTTGATAAGATCGAAAATAGAGGAGTTGAGGGGATTTCATCTCCCTTACCTCTCCATTAAAATTAGTAACCTAAACACGAGAAGATGGCATTTCTTTGTCCTTCTCTTTCCTTTACCCTTCAACTTCCCCAATCAAACTAAGGTAGTGATGGCAGAACCTTGGTTTCTAGTAATGGAAGCTTTGAACCGGGGTTCTTTAGTTCTGGAAGCTCTGGTAAGAGCTATTACTTGGGAATTTGGTTTAGGAAAGTCTAGTTCAAACTGTTGTTTAGGTTGCAAAGAGGTGCAACTCGATAAGCGACTTGTCTAGTGTTTTGATGATAAATAACATAGGCAATATGGTTCTCCTCAATCAAAGTAGGAGTGTTGTTTGGGCATCAAACTCAAAGGAAGAAGCTCGAAACCCAGTAGTTCAGCTCCTGGATTTTGGAAATCTCATTCTACAAGATAGAAATATAGGTATTTTGTGGCAAAGCTTTGACTATACAACTAATACTTTGCTGGCGGGGATGAAATTTAGATGGAACTTAAGGACTAGTCTTAATCGACAATTATCAGCATGGAAAACCCCAGATGATCCATGCCATGGAGACCTTACTTATGTGATAGAGACAAATAATTTTCCCGATTTTGTAATGTGGAAAGGCACAAGAAAGTACAATCGAACAGGGGAATGGCATAGGAATGGGTGGTGCACTCCACTTGAAACCCAATCCGTGGTATAAGTTCATTAAAATTAAAATTAATCTAGTAAATTAAAATGAAAATGTTAATTTTATAAATAATGCAAAATAAAAAATATATAAAAAAGTTTCTAAGCCATAAGTTAACCTATGACCTACTAGAGTTGAATTAAGATTAATCTTTACCAATCCATAACTGAAGTTAATCCAACCTGTATGACCTGTCACTTGAGGTGATCTAACCCTACCGTTTGCCACCCCTACCATAACCATAATCATATGTTTAATAAAAAAAACTACCGTCCACCGGCAGGTGGCTAGATATGCAAACCATCACCGGCTTCACGGATTCAATCGGCAAAATTGACCTAGATTGAAATGTGTCAATTTAGTAGCAGAATAACTACAGTTTGTTAGTGATTGTTATTGCTATAGAACATTGTATTTTCGGCTTATAGTGTTGTGGAGCTGGGCGTGCAAGCCCACAACTAATTAGTTGCTTGCCAACCATACTGAAATTGGGCCTGCTGTGCAGGGACAAACGGGCTTGGAACTCTAGGACAAGGGCTTGAGCCTCAACTATTTATAAATAATGCAGTAATTGATTCTAAACTCAAGAACTGAACAATCAAATAATAAACTCGAAAATTCATATTATTCGTTAAAAAAAATAAAATATATATTTCGGTTTTAATTTCATTTAACCTTAATTAATCCTCCTCAAAACGTAATTTCATTCATTCTCCCTCTTAGAAATTTTCATCTACCCTATCCCAAAACATTTTTTCCAAATTTAAAAATTTTCAATCATTTCCTCTAATTTTCGAGTGGAGTATTCCTCCGTTAAGCCATTAATATCTCATATTTGCTTCTCACTCTTACTTTCTTTTTCTCATTCCTATTCGACCATTCCTGGATCATATCCTCTCTCTAAACAATGCAAACTCTATTCATCATCCATCGCTAACCCTAATTCCTTGTCTAAAAACCTTAATCTACTTTGGCTTCAGTTATATCTGTGCAATGCATCCACACCTATTCATCCATCTGGGTTTTCAAGTTTGATTTGTGATTTTAGTTCACTTCAATTTTAGGTATTTAAACTTAGACCATATTTTTAATTTTGTTTATGAAATTGGAATAGAAACTCTAGGAAAAATTGTAAACCTAATTTGATTGTAAGTTTGTAATTGTTGCTTTTTGTACTGGTAATTGCTAAAATCTCTAACCCTAAACCCTCAAGGTTTAATTTTTCTAAAATCCATAATTTTCTTTGAAATTTCTGAAATTATTTGTAATGTAATTGAAAGCC